GGCAATGTTGGGTCTGGTTAGTATTTGGATTGGATACGGACTGGGATTTTCGATTCAGATCAAAGCAAAGCAGCTTTCAATCCAAATCTTTTGCAAAATGTATGTTTTGTGACAACTTACGTGTTCGATCTCTAAAACTCCCATTAAATGAGAAAATTGGATTATTTATCATTTTCACCGGAGAACTCGTCCTTCCGATTTTCTAACATGCATATACTGCATGGAGTATCATCTAGTGACTTGACTTGTCAATTCGTCCATTTTCGAATGGTGCCCTTTTGAAAGGCACAGTTCACCGTTAAAATGGGTTCTGAGTTCTCCTAGTGGGCTCTCTGGAGGATGCTGTCGAGTCCCAAAACTCAACAGCTAGGGCATAGTGGGAGCCCCCATCGCTCGGTCTTGCTGCTACGTCGGACGAGTGTCGAGGCGATACAATTGCAATATTTGTTCTATGATCCACACACAATCAGCTGATCGACGAATAATGAGGCGAAGTTTTCCTGCTGTTCCTTTATTCTCTGTTGTTCTTTCGCTGATGCGATCCCTTATTTAATGTCCTATCCCAAAATTCTGAAAAAGGTGGGCTGTTTTTGCTGTTAGTAGGTTTTCTCCTAACTTATGCTTATGAGTGAAAGGATTTTTGCTTACCGTAGTCATCTTTTGGTAGCATGACCCACACGTAAGCAATGACACACATTGTATGGCTCGTCCGAACGCCCCACTCTTGTTCACTCTTCTGGTATCATTCTCGTCCAGCCGCCTTTTTGACGATTTTCGGAAGCCATTTTTGTTTGCTTTGGAAACACCGATTCACGCAGTTTCTTCGCCTTCATCGCATTGCTTTCCATCTTATATTCCATTTTTCGTCATAATCTGGATTACCCAAAACTATCGTGAACTGTGCCTCTAACGGAATTGGTGGCAAATGTGACTATCTTGGGTCATCTCTGTTGAGGATTATCTTGTTATGCAACAATTTCACACTCGTAGCGCGCCAAAAACGATAAAAGTTTGTTACTTCAAACAGCAGTACTAATTAATATCTCATTACCTGAGTGTGCCCTGACAGTATCAAAAGGAATCAAAATTCTAAGAATCTCGCCCGTTCCACCCAGCCTTGCCCCCTCCTCACCTGTACCCCTACCATGTTGTTTCATTGCAAAAGAGATCTATGTATTTTACGGCTACCTCTTCAATTGCATCAAGGAATGATATAGATCGGTATCAGTTTTTTTTGAGAATACAGGCCATGGAGAATTAGAGCCCTACGGGCATGTTCTATGCTGTAGGATCATCATCATATCCACCTAGGTTACCGACCTTTTTAGTTTCATTTCCTGCTACTACTCTCTCCCTTGGGGAGGGGTCCTCCATCATTATACCGGTCTAGGTTACCTATCTTTTCAGAACCTCCTCCTTACCGTTAACAAGTATTCGATATCCCTCCGTATAAACACTATGAATTTCCAAAAGAAGAACAGACGCACTCACCATTTAAGGCGGCTCCGCGACGACTCTGGAATCTTCTGCATGGGATTTGGGCAGGCCAATAAAATACCATGACAGGAGCACCGATATAAGCATTGGGTAGCCTTCTTTACCAGCTATCTGGGATAAATGCACATTCATATGCCTCTTGGACGGTTTTTAATCGAAGTCGATTGCCTGGGACAGTCCGAAGAAATCGAAATTTGGGAAAAACGTTACCCATTAGGGATAGAATACGAGAATTGGATAAAACATTTTTATTGAGGATTCGATTAGGGTACAAAGCAATGAATCGTACATGTTCTATCGACAAAAAAAAAGAATTCGTCTATCATTTTTTCTAGTCACGAACATCAAAATGGCAAAAAAAAAAACGAAATTGGACACTGTACAGCGCAGACGTATATCGGATCCATCAAGCCGAACTGGTCTGTTGCATTTGGAGAAGCAGTTTCGCTACGGGAGCCTGAAAACTGGTTTTTAAAATTGTAATATCGTAATAATTGTATCATTCTTTATCAGAACCACAACTGATTAGGAATAGGGTTGGTAAGGATCCAATTGATGCGGTGAGTTTAAATGAAGCGATGAAACTAGAAACAATTTGAAAGTTCAGTGGATTACCCCCGTCCACTACTGTTTTCTCCAAAAAGTATTGAGATGAAAGCCAAAATTATCTTATGCAAATAGCATTGAAAATTCCTGGATAGGCCAACTACTCAAATTGGGAGAACTGCATTCCCTCACATACATGGAGTTACTCTTGTCTTGTTTATTTGTTAATTTATTTATTTGTTTAAAAACCTGATTCCCTTACCTGCCCATTCCTGATAAGTGCATCGGTCATCGGCCCAACCCAGTGGTTTTTCGTCTTTAACAATCCGATCAATGCGTCAACTTGTGCTTGGGTTGATTCCTGGAATGAAAATGGAACCATTCCGAGTATCACAAAAATTTTTGTCGGTTTCGGGGTTGGGTGGCTCTGAGAGCGTGTGGGCTTGGTAGATCCCTCCCAGTGAGAAAGTTCATTCATAAGGGGTTTGTGTCAAAGTTCTCCTGTGCTTCGATAAATTCGGATAGGACTATCCAACCCTCCTGCTTCGACTGGCGCATCACGTCACATATAAGCTATTTGTAGATTACTAGTTACACTTTCATAGCTCGGGTGCAAGCCCAGGTGCATGTTCAAACCTCCGAACGAGGCTGAATTAGATACATGGCCCACCCGGAACTGTTACAGGCACAATGCCTCCCTTTTTCAAAACGACCCGACCCCATCTCAGTTCTCTCGCCTTCAGAGCACTTCTCAATAAAACGCGGTTCAGGAGGGCTGAGAAGCTTACAATGCGCAACGGATACCTAGTAACACATCTGCTCTATCAAAAATCGGACCAATAGTCACACAACTCACTTTAGCGTACACAGCTCCCATTTCATGCGATTTTAGCACATTCCTAGCTACAAGTATCGGCACCAAATCCTTCAAATTCATTGTTTCGAGTGTCGATCGAAGACGATCCAAGTTATCAGCCTAGAAGATCCCGTCATTGAACAACTACTCGCTAACAATGGGACCATACTGGAAGGATATCTGGAACAAGTGTACCTGTTCAGCGCGGATGTCGGCTAGACTGCGTGAGCACGAGATGGACATTGTGGCAATAGGATTAGGAGCTGTTAAGAAATCTGAAACAAATCTTGTTCTCGAGTGATTTACAGAAGCTCCCAGTGGTTAGAGACACCACGAAATTTCCCAGAAATCACCTTCAATACAATATAACATCAGAAGTGAAAGAGCTCTACGTATACATCAAGAAATAAAAAGGTAAAAATCCAAAACGGTGATTGCAGAGCATCCAAATTTAAGGAGCAGCTGAATGGCCCTACGAATGACAGAGGATATTGCCGTACCCGTAAGGCAGAGGGCTCTCTTGTCGTCTGCTCTATGCCCTAATGTAAAGGAAACACAAAAACATCAAAGTAGCACAAATCTACTCGGTATAAACGACCACAGCGGAGTAAAGGAGTAGGTTAGACTAAGCAATGGAGTTTATAATGACAGCAGCAGTCGGTAGGACCCATGAAGGGTCAGGCGGTAGAGATTCAGTCAGAAAAAAAGTCAGAAAAAACCAGAAATCAAAAAGATCAGAGC